AAGAGTTAGGTAACACTAAAAAAAATGGGATAAATACTTCCTTTCCCCCATGAGATATTGGCAGAATTGGCAAATTCACTGTGCCCTATGCAAGCTTCTGTATTATGGTTTGATGCTTCATGATGGAAAGATATCATCACCACCCTCAGTGAATGAAGTCCCATTCAGCAGTTTAGGATGCGCAGGACAAGGGGAAGCTGAAATGCAGCTGAAGACAGATGCTCTTCCTTTGTGTGCAAAGGCCCATGTGTATTTTGATCAATAATTCTGAAAACTCAGCACACACACACACACACACACACATTTGCTTATATATATGTGTGTGTGTGTATATATATATATACACATTTGCTTATGTATGTTTTTGTACATATACACATTTAAGAAAAGAAAAAATTCATTAAAGATAGCCTGCTTTCTTAAAAAATTCATTAAAGATAGCCTGCTTTCTTTCTCACAGAGTTACCAATTAGGCTGTAGGAAAAGCAAGAATGCAGCTAAAACTCAAGATAAACTCAACTCAGATATCATCATGATTCTCTTTCTTGCTTCTGCTTTTCTTTGCATTGTCTTTGTACTTTCATGCTTCTGAGTGGTTGACTTTACAAGGCGGAAAAAATGCAGCCGCTAAGAGCTCCTGATTATAGTATCTTCGAACAGCTTCAATTACATTTCAAATTCTTAGGGAAGAGCACTGATTGACTCTGTTTGGGTTAAGTGCCCACCCAGCATAGCTAACTATAGACTTGTTTTCTGAGGGCTTTGTGTGGAATAAGTCTAGCTCCAGAGTTTCTTCCCAACTGGAGGTGTCAGGGAGTGGGACTAACACCGTCTAGAAATCTGAGGCAGTTCTGAAGTTTCTGGAGGCAAAAGCCAATGACCTGCTCTTGTGGGTCTCTGGGGGCCTCACCCACCACCAGCACCACTAAGGAGAATAGTCACAAACCACCACTTTTGTCCCTCTGGTTCTGGCAAAACCTTAACATGGGACAGCAAAACATTACATTTGGCATTTGTTTGTAATGTTCCTATGGGATAAGTTGGCAGACTTGTCTATCAAAAAAAAAAA